AAAATCTTGTTTTGGAAAATTTTAATTTTTTTTAATAAAAAATTCTTAAAAAATAACATAGTTTGGAACAAATTAGTGCAAAATTTTCTCAGTTTAATAAGTTTCTTGGTGAAAAACACACTCAATTTTTAAAAAGTGACAAAAACAATTCTTACCTTGCAATTTTCCACATGGTTCTCGTAAAATATTACAAAATTGAGCTTTTTTTGAGAAAATTTTTTTATTACATTAATAAAAATAATCACATTTGTACACGAACAAAATGCTATTGAATATTTAAAAATAATTATTTTTTTCCAAGTGCGAGTATTTGATCAAGAAAGATAATTATTCCTTGCTTAAAACAAACACAAATGTATGTTTTGTTGACTTGCAAAGTTGAATTGAATTCATTAATAAAGCCAACAGTTTAAATCATTGAAAAGTACAAAAAACACATTTCTCGCAATTTACCTTTCATTTCTGACGTTCAAATTAGATTAAAAACTAATCTCGGGAATTATGAGGAGAAATTGGAGGAAATGACCAATAAATTAAAAAAACACACTATTTTCACTCATTTTACTAGAATTTTAACAAAAAACACTCTCTGGTAAATAATCCAAAATACTGCGAATTATTTTAATAAAAAGAAACACCAATATATTTTTATATTTACTTTTAACAACCAAAAAATAGTTTTTTAAAGCCTGAAAACCTGAAAAATGTCAATTTTTCAGTAGCGAATTGTGAGGAGAATAAACTTGTCATTTGAGTTTCTAAACAGAAAAAAAAATAGTTATTTCAATTCTTTTAACAAAATTCCCCAAATTATACAAAAATTGATGTTTTTTAAGTCATTTCTGAGTAAAATTTTACTTAAACAATTAAGCCAAAAAATTACAAAATTTCGCCAAAATAATGCAATTTTTTACGTTTTTAAGTTTTTTGATATATTTTGCTGAAATAAACCAAAAAAAAAAATTAACTTAAGCAAAATTGGTGTTTTAGACTATTTTGCTCAATTTATTTTATTTTATTATTTCAACAAAACGTTT